TAGTTGTCATTCCACCGTCAAATGCCTTGCCAAGTGAATCAGCTGAAGCAGTAATGCTTTTCACTTCAATTTGTGAGGTGTCCAGGTCTTGTTTCCTTCCACCCTACCAGGCAGATACTAGAATAGTAGCTGAAATTAGGCCACGACCGCATCCTTCAGATCCTTTCCACTTCATTACTGCCATTTGATGACACATGCATGAGATGCTGACAGCATCATCAAATAAACAACAGTAATAAGAGTACTGTCTTCTGGGGTTGTGATGGCGCGTAGTTCGCAGAGAACTTGGCATTTCAGAAGAACATATTGCCTCCATCTTCAGGGGTGAAGAGTAAGCCTGCAGAAGCAGGTGGCAAGCTGTGGAAGGTGGTGTTACATGGCATCACAATGCAGAAGACCAGTACCCTTCACAGTGACTGCTGTGAAAGCCCCAGATCCATCAAGCTCTTTTATTTCCTTGGCAGTGGATGTAGGAAAGTTGTGCATTTATTAGGAAATGGTTATGCAGTAGATAGCATGGCTGTTTGTTGTTGACTGAAGCACATTCCAACATTCTGAAATATGTGGATGTGTAGTGAGTCTGCATTTATTGTTGATTTTATTTAGTTTTATTTTTAAAAGCTTTGTGCATTTAGATTCTAGTGAGTGTGTTTTGCATTTCATTATGGTATTTATTATTTTTAAGGCTTGAATAACGTTGGGAGGACTTGACGTATAAAACAGTGATATTTTCTTGCACTGTGCGACCTTTATGAAGGAGAATAGAGCACTTAAGTTCCCACATATTTTCTGTGATCAGACACATTATTAGGGCTGTAGAATTAAGTAAGCCAGCTAATATATGTGAGATATTTTTATTCCTATTCATATTCTACACTCAAAATGCAAAATTTAGTTAAATATGAAGATAACTGTCTTCTGAGGTGTGATGTTATGAAGTCTGGTATTTACCAGTGTTTCAGAGGAACCAGAAGATGGAGGCAGCATATTCTTCTGTAACACTGGTAAGTATCTGCTGCTGCATCTAAAATATCAGTAAATATTGTTGCGTGTCTTTAGTGTATACATGACAAATAACTTCGCGCCGTATTTGATATAGCGAATTTTATTTCACATTCGCACTTACAATCACCCAAATTACAATCTGACAATTACTGCTATCTGCAGTATCACAAATACTACACTGCAAATGCCACAGTACAACTGACTGGTTGCTGGCTAACTCGGAACTCTCTCGGAACTACCTCGTAGGTAGCTGCCTTGAGAACTGTGAATAGCCTTCGCTGCTCCTTATGTAGCCTTGTTCCGGACAACACAGAATACGGCCACGTAATAGGCACCCTTGTTGCCTGGCGCCGCGTTGCTAGCAACGCTGTCCAGAGTTGTTTACTGCTGCCTAGTAACCGCGGTATCCCGTGGTGACGTCACCACTGTTGACTCGCGTTGCATAGCTAACAGGATGCTGGGACTCGGCTAACTTCGGCTCCTCTCAGCACGTCACGGCTGGCGGGGGAAGGGGCGTCATCCATAGCTCAACACGTCACAATATCTATCAGGTTAGATGGCATTACATCCTAGAAGACAGTAAGATTTATAACCACCGCTGCATGAATCTCAAGTTTCAGTTAAGTATCGTCAATAAATTTGTGAACATTATACACATTCGTACTAGTCACGTAATGTGGTTATGAAGTCTTAGACCTGAATAATTTCTAGAGGATTGCAATTTTATGTTTCTCAGTTGCTTAGCTGGAGAATGCCTAAAATCAGTTTTAACACTTTTAGTTAGTTATTCTTTATATATATAAAAGGTATTTGTTCCTAAAACTTGTTTCCATTAAGTGGTTAATTATTGAGCATACATGATTATCACTTCAAATGCATGCAATCATTGCAAAAGACTAATATTTTTATTTTCATTGGTGGGGTAGTGCTCTCCCCTCTTCTTCTCCTCGACTCTTCGTATTTCATTTTCTTGCCAGACACTTAACTTCAGTTTATGCTACAAGTTAAACATGGCAGCAAAAGGATTATTTTGTTTTCAGTTTATATTCATGTTGTACTTTTTATTTGTAAAATTACTGGGAAATAAATGCGTGTTTTTGAAGACGTTTTTCACTGTTTCTCTGCTGAGACAGTCTTTTAAGTTGGAAGATGTTACAAATTCAGAAGAAAGAAATCCTTTCTTTCCCATTCCTTGCCCTGAAAGTTATGCAGCCTGCTGGTCTGTAATGCAGTTGAGTGTCCTTATGGCATGCTTTTGTGTGATGAGGTCATTTGTCACGTGTCCCCCTTCTGCTGACAGTCTGTCACATTAGTATGGGAGAAAATCAGATAATGCACTTCTCTGTTTCTATGTATTGTGTTGCACTCTCTCCACATACTTGCAAGTGTGAGACTGTTTTGTTTTGAGTCACATTTAAACTGCAGTTGATTCCCTGACTTCAAACCCAGTTTCCTGGAAATTGGTGTTAATGTACCATAGTACCCTCCAGTACCCAGGTGATGGGTTCTGTTTAAAGCAGCTGTACTGTTTTTAATGCAAATTATTAAATGAAACACAGTCTCCGTATAATACGGATTATTACTAGCCTCATTTCCCCTGAAGTCGTATTATTAACATGTGTACTGCCAGTTCCAGCTCCAGACGTGTTGAAGCATACCGGATGGATGCCAGTGATTACCCTAACAGTGGATGAACTTTTGCCACTGTGTTACAGAAATATCACGTATATATATAATCAATATATATTTAAAGGCATTTCAAGATTGATTGAGACTAGTGACAGCACCCTTAGAAATGAGAGTGACTGGTTCAAACTCAGCGATGATGCTTTTGATGCTTTGCTTCATTTTGCATCTCATAAAGACTAAAATAAAGATTTGTTTTTACCAACCTGTTTCAAAAATATGTGAGAAAAAGGTAAGATGCCAGCAGTGGTGAAGATTCATACCTGGGTTCATGTTGTAGTCTACTCTTCAGGGTCAAACCCAGGCAACAGGAATGCCAGAAAATGTTTGTATCTCAACATTATCCTAATAGTGCATATAAACAGAAATGTCCTACATTTTCCATTTAGTCCAAAATGTGCTTGTTTCTTCTCATTCTATCGGGTAACTTAATGGAATGAAAAGGAAATTCAGGAAATGTGTTATGACTTAATTTGATTCAGTGAAGACTTGTCCATTCATTATGGCAATGGACATATGCCATTTCATTTCATTTATTCACCTTCCATAAATTGTGTTGAGAATACATTCTGATGTGGATGTGGAGATGTCCTAGTTACAGTCACAACTAAGAATTACAGTTGCCATCAAATAGCATACACATTTGTAATAAAATACTGATAAACATATACAATATAATAAATAAGTTAATTTTAGTAGTAAAAGTAATGGCAAACCTTATACAATTTTTACAGTTTTATACAAGTCTGTTAATTAAAAATTCAGTAGTTAAAAACAACGTCATTAATGAGTTTTGTATAACATACATTAATAGTATAATAAATTGAAATAAAGACTAGTATACAGTGATAATATACCACG